CCCATCAAACAACCCCCCCAAAAAAAAACAACACAAAAACCAACAACAACAACAACAACAACAACAACAACAACAACAACAACAACAACACCAAACTCTAGAACAAACAAACAAACGATCGAGCAAACAAACCAAACAGGGATAGAACATAATTATAACACCTTATAGACTTACGGAGTTTGCAATGAAGGCGTAGTAAAGGTTCATCTCCAGCTCAGTGAGCGTTGAGTTGTATCCGTAGTACTTCAGCCATCTGTGGTAAGGAAAAAATGAATTAATGGTATAGGTTTAACGCCCCTATCAACACTGTTAGGCTACTTAGGAGGCCGGGGCCCTTGAGTTAAACGTCCATCTCCGAAAGGACCGAGCCAAGCGGGAAATTCGTGAAAATTCCCAAGGACACAACGTTAGACCTAGCTGAGGCTCGAATCCCCGAACCCGCAATCTCACGATTACGAGTCTGGTAGCCTAAAAAATGGTATAGGTTTAACGCCCCTATCAACACTATTAGGTTATTTAAGGGGCGGGACCACCGAGTTTTTAACGTCCATCTCCGAAAGGACCGATGAGCCAAAAGGGAAATTCGTGTAAAGTGCCTTTCTCAAGGACAAAACGTCGGACCGAGCTGAGGCTCGAACCCCCAAACCGGCAATCTCACGATTACGAGTCCGGTAGCCTTTCTGTGATAAGGGTGTTACAAAACGTGATACATTGTGGTTGTGGAAACTATCAAAGAAGGCCTTCCAGTGTCGTAGAGAAAAGTAGACGAATAGGACAGGTGCATGCCAGAGCATGGCATTATAATGTACACATTACGCTTCCACAGATTTACTAGGTTCTTTCTGCTCAATCCCTAGTTTTGAGAAATTTGATGTTAAAACTTTTCTGTTTGGGTTTCTTAATTATGTCAAGCTTTTACGAATGCAATTCTTTGAATATCTTGAAAACGACTCCGAGTACTCTCTCTCTCTCTCTCTCTCTCTCTCTCTCTCTCTCTCTCTCTCTCTC